TGGACTCACCCCAGGGGCGGAGGATGGGAGACCCTGCACAGGATTGGGGCCCAGGCCATCCCCCGCCCAGCCTCTCCCTGGTCACTCAGGCCTCCTCCCGCACTTGTGTGCCCACAGCCTGGGGGCCTCCCTGGGCTGTGGGTGCATGGGAGCCCTGGCCGCATTGACCCTGGGCATGTCCCACGTGGTTCTCAGGCTGGGGAGGGGCCTACCCACCCGTCTCATTCCCAGCTACCGGGCCCCCCGCCCAGCGAGCGGATTGCTGTGCAGCACGGAAAGCCCCAGGACCCTGTGTACATGCGTGAGGGAGGCGGGCGCACCGAGACGACGTCGGCGATGCAGCGGTTGAGGTTGCCCTTGTCATCCTTGATGGTGATGGGCCGGTCCTCCTTGATCCTCTCCATGGCCAGCGGGCAGTCCAGCTGAGAGGGCGGCAGGTGGGTACAGGCCAGGACCCTTCCCAGCAGCACCCACACCTCCCACATCCCCCGCCCAGGGGTCAGCCCACTCACGCGGAACTTGCGGCAGAATTCATCGATGGAGCTGATTTCTGAGCCTTGAACCTGCCGGAAGGCGGCTTTGTATTGAACCAGGAGGCGGGAGCAGGCTGCGGTGTACCTAGGAAGAGGGCCAGACAAGGGCCCTGAGCACGGGGACAGCCCTGCCCAACCACAGACAGAGCACGCAGGGCAGCTTTCAAGGAGGGCTGGGTGACGGGTCAGAGATGAGCCATCAAGGGCAAGGCCTTCCGCTGAGTCTACACAAGGGAGCACTCTGGACAAGAGTGGGGAGGGTAGCCAAAATATGGCTGCCACGGGGTCCAAGTCCGGACTGCGCAGAGGCCCAGCCAGCCCCTTAGGGCCTGCTCTCCTGGACCTGTTGGCCAAGCCTTCACACCCACAGCTCGTGGTCCTCTGGGTGGGCCTTCCCAGATGCCAGGCCTGGCCAGCAGCACCTCACAGACTGACCTCCCGACGCTCCTGCTTGCCTTCTGAAGGCATCTCATCAACCAGGTCATCTGTGCCCAGGGAAGCAGGCTGGGGTGAAACCCCAGGACCAGGGCGGTGGGCACACCTCTCCCCTGCAGTACCACCAGGACGTCCCCAGCTGGGAAGGCACCCAGGCTGCTAGCCCCCAGGGGCATTCTCCTTGTGCTGGGCAGGCCCCACAGAAGTGCGCACCCTCACAGCCTGATGGGGGAGGCAGAGGCCCCCACACAGACCCCCACTCTCGCTTCCTGTGGAGCACCCAGGCCCTGGAGGGCAGAAACAAGCTTCCAAGGGCAGGGACAGGGGCTCTCACTCGTTGGGGGTGACGCAGTCCTTGATGTATGCCTTTTCCAGGGCCTGCATGGTCTTCACAACTGCAAACAGCTCCGCCATGTTGTCATACCTGAGGAGTGTGCCATCAGGCCGGGCCACCGGGGCCCCCAGAGCCCAGGGCACCAGCCCCACTGGGTGCAGCTGTGGCGGAGTTGTGCATTCAGCCCAGCCTGACCCTGTGTCCTCCTGACCCTCGGGTTGGGGATGGGTTTGGGGTTGGGGGAGGCGGGTGGGCAGGGGTATGTGTGCTGGGGGAGGGCAGCCTAGGTGCTGGACTCACTTCTCCCTCTCCCGGGCATTCTTGTACAGCTTTACTTCCTGTTGGAGAGAGGAGGGGTGTGTCAGCTCCAGGGGGGTTGCTCACATGGGAATTTGCTGTTGGTCAGTGCTAGTGAGGTGAGCGCCTGCCACTCACCTCATACAGCTCCGGCTTGTTTCCAGGGGCTACAATAGAGCAGGCAGAGAGCTAGCACGGTCACAAAGGGGAGGCCCACCCTGGCCCCAACCCCATTTCAGCACCCCTCTTGAGGCTGTCCCTTGTGCTACGTCCCAAAGAGCCAGGAGGGAGCTTGAGGCTGGGAATTCCATCAGTTTGTGGGGGGACCTGAGCAGAAGACATGCCTCTGGGGTCAGGAGGCCATAAGCCAGGCCTGCCCCTGCATTCCATCACTACTCCTTGGCCACCTCACCCTACAGCGGGGTGACTATACCTTATTTACCGTGCAGTGAGGGGCAGAAACATTTGTCACATGCTTTGTGACCTTAACCATGGCTGGTAACTCCACAACCCCGAGGTTCCAGCCACATTAAAGCTGTCATCTCTGTAACCAGCCAGCCCCGCCAGGAGGTCGCTGGGTCCCAGTGATAAAATAATGCACCAGGCCCTGGCCACCCCCTGAGGCCAAATGAGGGGGACACTTATAGACACCCCCCACAACCCCCGGCCAATGCTCCCATCAGCCTCTGCAGCAGGGGCTGAAAGCCTGGGCCCTTTAGGACCCTGGGCCCAGCTCAGGCCACACTCACCTCCCATGCCTGTAGTGGCTGGGATCCCGTGAAACATCCTGTAGACTCAGGCAGAGACCTGGGGAGCAGAGCCATCCTCAACTCAAAGGGGACCCCTGACACCATGAAGTTCTCTGCCCTCAGCAGAGCCAGGTGAGAAACAGTAATGAACACAGGACACTAAATGCTGTGCTGGGAACACCTGCCCGGCTCTGAACGCTGTAAGGAGGAAGCGTCTCATGGGGGAGCAGAGTGATTGTGGGGAAGGGCAGGTGGCTCCAAGCCAGGTGACCAGGGGAAGAGGCGGTGCCTATCAATGAACCCAAGGAGGAGCGTTTGGGCAGACAAAGCAGCACAGTAACAGGTCCTTCTATAGGGACCGATTGGTAGACACAGCACTGTGTGTGTGTGTGTAGCTTTCTGTGAGGTCATCCTAGGGAACGAGAACTGAGAGGCATGCAGCTCTTGCAGGTCAGAACCCTGACTTTTATACTAACTGGGCAGGAGCTCCTGGAGGGCTGAAGGCAAGACACTGGGTTCCCAGCTGGGCAGTGGGCTGAGGAGAAAACGAAAGCAGAAGGCCCCTGCCCAGCCAGAAAGTTGATAAGGGGGCCAGTTCCAGAAATGCTTTGGAGGTGGACCCACCAGACCCACTGAAGGATTTGCAACAGGGTGTCAATGAGTCAAGAATGACACCCGTTTTGGCCCACTGGCACCAGGATGGTAAGGTGCAGAGACGGAGACAAGAAGGGCAGTTGGCAGGGTGGCCAGTGTGCAGGAAAGCGTGCCCTGGTTGGGATGTGCTGGGTTGCACAGGCTCTTTTGGACATCCAAGTGCTGAGCCATGCCCCAGGGTGGATGGCATTACACAGGGGACAGTTATGGGGCAAAGGAAGATAAGCGAGAAAGCAGCCCAGGCTGGAGTCCTGGGGCACCCCAGCGTGCAGGCAGGGTAAGGGCTGGGAAAGAGCAGTGTCATTCAAGTTAAGGGGCACGTCTCAGGAAACGAGGGGCGGAGTCTGCAGACACTGACAAGGGCCCACTGGGTGGGCACACGGAGGAGACGATTCCGCAACCCTCCTGGAGCATCAGGGAGGAGGAGGTGCAGCCGGAGTGGGCTGAAAAAAGGGGAACCCTTGGTAGTCCTAAGGCCAGATTCCACTCAGCCACGAGAACGAATGTCCCCAGGCTACAAACCAATACCAGGCTAAATCTCACAGACCAGACCTAGAGCCAGAAACGCGAGTTTCCAGAGAATGCCCATGATGTGGCTGTAGGTGACACTCACTCAGGCTACCACCGGGTCCAGGGGAGCAATGAGGCGCCCCGAGGGGGGCACATTTGGGGACCCGGGGCTGGCTGGTGGGGGCCGCGCGGATGGCAAGGCTACCTTTAGGGGTGCGCAGGCAGGGACACGCCTGGGGATCCCGTCCACGACCGCCGGGCTCGGAGGCGGCAATCCCGGGAACCGGGAGAAAACCGAGATGAAAGGCCCGGGCGAGGAGGGGCACTCTGCACGTGGCGACGCCAGCGGGCCTAGGCCACAGTCGCCTTTCCCCACCGGGTCAGCTGACCCTTGGCCGCCCGCCCCCAATCCGGAGTACCTGAGGAGGATCCGCAGGTCCCGGAGATGGCGCCGGGGCGGGGCTCACGATCGGCCGCTCGGCGCTCTCCCTGACTTCCGCGCCTGCGCGCACCTCCCTGCCATCGGCGCTCGACCCTCGTGTCTGCGCTTGCGCGCAGAGGACAGTGCTAACCCAGCCCAGCCCGGACCTGCGCACAGTCCCAGCGGCCGTTTCCCTACAGCAAAGCCAACCCCGTCTCCCGCCCGCCTTTCAGGCAGAAGCTGGGGTGAGGCGGCAGCAGCAGTCGTTTATTAGGGGCAGGGGGACGAGGCGGGGGTGCGCAGGGCGGCGCTGGCCCTCAGAGGCGCCGGAAGAAGAGCTTGGCGCCTTGGTCCAGTGTGCACGCGCCTGAGCCGGGCTGGCTGGGCAGCCGCTGGCGCAGGGCGGCCCGATCCTCGTGGGCGAGGCTTCTGCTGCACAGCTGCAGCTCCTGCAGAAGCGTGGCGATCTTGTCCCAGAGGCCTGGGCCCAGGGGGCCTTGGACGGCACAGCCTGCAGAAGGGAGGCAGGCGCAGGCCTCAGGGAGCTGCTCCCAGCACGGCCAAACCAGGGCAGCCCTGCAGGAGTCAAGTGGTGGTGGCCACGGCAGGCTCCAGGGCACTCCCAAGCCCCAGCCTTTTCTCTTTATTTAACGTAGCCCTCGAAAGCCGTTCTCTGAGGCCCCAAGTACTGCAGGGAGGTGCAGGAGCAGAGAGGCCAGATAACACTCTAGGCGGGGGTGTGCTCTCCCAGAGGAGCTGCCTGGGACCGTGGGCCCTTTCACAGCCGGTGGTCAGGCAGGAGGGAGGCTGCCTAAAATAAACGCTGCAGTCACATCTGTGCCTCTGACAGTCTGTGACAACGCCTGGGTCTTTCCACCCATAAAGTGGACACAGTGGGGCTGCCTGTGAGTCTCCCGCACACACTAAGCTGCCAAGGCTTGATCCTGAGAGGCCAGGGTGCCCAGTAAGCTCGGGTCCCCAGGGAGTTTGGTGAGCGCCAGATGCCAGGAGGCCAGGTGTGTGGGGAGCAGCCCCTCAGCTGAGTGCAGACCTGCCACCAGCATGCCATCGGGGTGCCTTGCTGGAGGAGCCAGCCTGGCCCTGTGGGGTGGGGGGTGAGGGGCAGGAAAAACCCAGGGGGGCTCCCCCTGTGTACACCCACTCCCAGCCCTTGTCCTCCTGGAGGGCAAAGCCTGGTGCCCCCAGCTGGAGGTGCCAGGCTGCTGGTGGCTCCCACGGGATCATCGAGACAGCTCTGGTAGGGCACTGTGTGGGTGTGACCAGAATGAGAACAAGCTAAGCCAGGCCACAGGCCAGGAAAGTAAGGTCAGAGCAGCCCCTGCCAGGACCTGGGAAGGTCTCAGTGGCAGCTATCACCACCCTTACCTTGAGCTCCCTCCTCGACACTGGGAAAGAGGAAGTCCCTGTGCAAGAGGGTCCCGTGCCCCCTGCCATGTTCTCCGAGGATCAGGCTGAACAGGCCAGAGGCAGAGACCCCATGCTCCTCCTGCCCCATCATTTTGGGAGCTAGGCTCACACCCGCTTCCAGTCACCTGTACCACACTGTCAGCCTCAGGGGGCCCAACCCACCCTTGTGTTCTGGCTAATGGCAGCAACAGTCCCTTCAGAAGAGGCAATGTGGGTCTCAGGTAGGTCCCTAAAGAGTGATGTGTGTCACCAGCCTGGTGTAGCAGGTGGCCACCATACCCAGAGCTCACCTGATAGGCCTAGGAAACTCAGGCCTTGTGGCCGCTTCTGGAGGTCACACAGGAGCTCCTCCAGGCCAGCTGTGCTGACCTCGGGGTTGGCAGACAGGTCCAGAGAGACAAGTGAGGGGCAGAGAGGGAGACATCTGAGACAAGGGAAGTGTGTGTGTGAGTGTGTGTGTGGGGTGTCAGTGTCCAGGGAGGGAGGCCCCCATCACTAGAGAAAACTGCCCCAGACAAACCCACCACCCTGGGAGCCACAAGCCAGGCCCAGCAGGTTTTCCCCCCATCCTTGCATGGCACAGGTCATCCTCCAGGGCCATCGGCACTGCCAGGGGTAAGACCACAGTGGCCAGACCTGGCTTGGGGCACATGGGAAGGAGCTGGCACCACTTCTGTGTCCTGTCCCTACCTGACCTAGCAGCCCCCCTTCAACTCTCAGGATCCTGGGCCTTGAGGTCAGACCCCCCTCAAGACAGTGAAGGCTGGGCAGGTGGTATTACCTGCTCAGGTCTCTCACTGCCTTGTCGTCTAGGTGGTTTGCTGACAGGCTCAGGTGCGTCAGAGCACAGCTTTCCTGGACACAACAGAGGCCAAAGGCAGGCTGCGCTGAACGGGGTGCCTGCCTCTCTGCTTCCCAGCAGAGGGCCCACACACTGGAGGCCAGACACCTCCCCTCTAGGAAAGGCTAAACAGCCCCGGGGGCACCAGAGGGGAGCAGCATCCCCTCAATTAGCAAACCAGAAAGACATGTCCTTCCTTCTGGGTGTAAGTCACACTTGGCATATTGTAATACGAAAATCACGGGGACCCAGCCCCAGCTGGAAGAGTCCCTGGGAGCACTGGGAGGCCTGGCGTGCACCTTGGGTCTTACCTGGGACTTTGGTTCCAGGTGCCCTTCCTGCCTGAACTCACAGCCTGAAGCGGGTAGCTCTACAGAAGGCTTCCCCCACCCCAACTTAAGCGTGCGACCTTTGGCGTCCCCACTGCATACCTTGGTCAGGTATCTGACCACGGGCTCCGTGAGGCTTGAGTCACTCTTGCTGGCTGCCACAGAGCTGAGCTCTAGGCGCAGGAGGCTGTGAGCAGGCAGGTTCTGCAAGGTCTGGGCCAGGGCGGTGGCTCCCATGACATTGAAGGACAGGGACAGTGTCTTCAGGTGCCTGGCATCTGAACCAGGGCCAGAACCTCAGTCAGCCTCACAGTCACCACCCCCAGCCCTGCTGCAGCCCTGGGCGCAGAACCGCATGAAGCCTCTGGGAAGCTGTCGCCTGCGATTTCATGCACAGGGAAACCGCCCAGGATCTCCCAGCTAGGGAGGGGGCAGGCCAGACTCCCGAGCCCAGCGTCTCCCCACCATTTCTGGCCCCTGCCTGCCCTGCACGACAGGATGGCCTCAGGTTGCCTGCGACAGGCCCTGGGCCGAAATGTGCGTGCGTGGTGGTGGGGGGGCCTGGGGAGCACTCCATCTGCTGTCCTCAGTGCTGAACCTCACTTCCTAGCTCACCATCTCTGCAGAATGGCCCCTGGAGAACCCCCTGTCCCCAGTCTCTCAGCAGCCTTAGTGGGCTTACGGTGGAATTGTCTCAGGCACATGGAACACGGGCTGGGACTCTGTTCTGTGGTATGGCTGGAGTCGGGGTGTGTCCTGGGGGAATAGCCCAGGCCGGCCCTGCACCCACGTCTACCTACGTGTGCTCAGAAGCCAGGCTGGTGCCCCAAGACCCCTCTGGCTCAAGGATCTCTGAGCTCCTAAACATACCCTTCTGATGGCAGCTGGAACCCTGGGGCCAACAAGTGGACGTGTGGTTGACTTACCTTGGAAGGCGCTGCCCAGGGCCGTCTGGTGGCTCAGGAGGAAACGGGGGCCAAAGCCACAGGCCTGGAGGTGCAGGGTGCTGAGCACCGGGCAGGCCCGCAGGATGGAGGCCAGGGCCAGGCCACAGCCATCCCCAAGGGGGTTCATGCTCAAGTCCAGCTCTTCTAAGTTCTGAGGAAGACACAGGCCCCCCAGGGGATCTGGCATCCAGCCAGCACTCCCAATGGCACCTTCCCACCCAGTGCCCGGCAGGGTGCGAAAGTTCTGATGTCACCCTGTCACTGACCTGCAAGGGGGCTTGCCCCTGGAGGCCAGCAGCAAGCTGGCGCAGGCCATCAGGGCCCAGGTGGTTGGAAGAGAGGTCGAGGAGGGTCAGGCCAGGCATGGTGCCCAGGGCAGCCAGCAGCTCAGCGGAACAGCCATCCCCCAGCCGGTTCCCTGCCAGGCGCAGCTCCCGGAGTGCAGAGTGCAGCTTAAGGGCCCGCAGCAGGGGTGTGAGCTGAGCCTGGTGCAGGGCCAGGCGGCAGGCGCTGAACGCGGGGCCCAGGCCCTGGCGCTCCATGGCCTGCAGCACCTGTGGGTGCTCCCCTGGAGGAGATGTGGTGTTACCAGGGCCAGAGCCTGCCCATCTGGTGGGAACCCTGGTAGTGAGCCAGGCGGCCCCTCGCTCCCGAGCCCTGGGGCACACTGGAGGCTCTGCAGAGCCTGGTCCCTCCAAGCCTGAGGCCTCTTCGCAGGCTGGTGGGTGGTGCCAACCCATCTCTGCCCTGTGAGGCCCTCCCTGCAGGGCTGGACTCCCTGCCAGGCCTGGCCTAATGGCTCTGGGTTTCCACAAGGTCCCAACTCTAGGTGCGGCCATCTTCTACCACTCACCGCTCACATGTGTGGGCACTGGGTGGTGGAGGAACACCTGAGGACAGGTGTGGTGGGAGGGAGCCTTGGTGGATACCTGGGGTCCTGGGACCGAGGCTTGCTGACCAGGCAGTGGTGGGGATAGGGAGAGCCTACCTGCCCCCTGCCCCTGTCCCCAGGCCAGGCCACTGCCAGCTTCCCTGGGCCTTTACCTTGCTCCAGGCTCTGGCAGGCCTTGCGGTAGCGGTCGGGCAGTGGGGGGAGGTCCCACGAAGTCACTTCAGCCAGCACCTGGAAGGCACCACTGGTAGACAGCATGGGGCACACCGCACCAAGGATGCCTGATGCTCAGGTCTGGCCCCCACCACTCACCTCCTCATTGCTCTGCAGCACATCGGGGATGGGATCCTGGGGGGCCAGCAGGGCCCCCTCCTTTCGTAGGATGAGCCTTGGCAGCAGCCCACAGGCCTGGTAGTAGCGCTGGGCAGCCTGTTCAGCTAGCCAGGCCACAGAGTGGGCCTCCTTGCTGTGGGGACATGGGCACCACGCTGAGCCCTGGACCTGGCCAGGTCCTTGCACAAGCCGAGCAGAGGCCTGGGCCCCACCCTACCCCCACCCACTTGGGAAGCCAGTGCACCTGTGGCCCAGGACACCTCTGGCTCCCCCGGGCTGTTCCCCGGGGTCCCGGGACCTGACCAGACCACTCCAGGGCCCTGCTGTGCTTGTGCAGGGCACCCTGACCTTGACCTGGACCAGCAGGGATGGCACATCAAGTTAGAGTGAGCCCTTGTCACACATCCGACCTGATGTGCAAACACCAGGACTCTCGGCTTCCACTGGGGTGCCACCCCCTGGCAGAGCCCACGGGGCGCAGAGGGAGGTAAGGTGGGAGAGGGCAGGTGATGCCTTACCTGTGTGGGACGGGGATGAGAAAAAGATTGTCCTGGACTCGAACTCGAACCCGGATGGGAGGCGGCAGGACCGGTCCCTGGCAGATGGGGCAGGGAGGGACGGGCTGCGTCAGGAAGAGCAGCCCCATGCCCCACCCTCCCTTGCCTGCAGTCGGCTCTGCTCCAGGCCCGTGCACCCACCGTAGGCAGGCCTGTCACCAGGCTCTCCCCGCCGGGGACATCGGGGCTCCGTGGGGGCTTCATGGCCGAGCTGCAGTCTCTGCCTGCTGTGACCCGTGCACTCCAACCCCTGAGCACGGACAGCCGGCTCTGCCTGGCCCGGGCCCGCGGCCTGACAGGGTTCTCATCACTGCTTGACCCCGAGGCACTGTGCCTGGTGCTATACCCACCGCCCTGGGGGTGGAGCAGGTGGCTGCTCCGGCCACCGGGGGTCAGTAGCAGGTCATCTTCCAGCCAGTCCCCAGCCAGGCACTCCTCCTCAGGAATGAGAGCCGCGTGGGGTGTGGGGGTCTCGCCTGGACCCTGAGGCCGGATGAGCCCCTGGCAGCAGCTCTGGGCACTGCCCACGCCTCGAATGGCCGCCTGGTAGGCTGTCCGGCCAGCTCCTGCTGCTGCCGCCTCCCTGTCGCTGGTGCAGCCAGGCATCCTGGCCCTGGCTTGCTGCACTGGGGCAGAGTGCCGGGGCCTCTTCTGGGTTGGCCGGGGGGGCCCTGTGTTGTCCTCACCCTCTGAGCTGCTACTGCTGGCCAGCTTGTGCCTGCTCTTCCGAGGCCTGGCCACAGCCGGCACCGCCTGTGCCTGGGAGACCCTGTCACTGGCCTGAGGGGCCTCTGGGGATCCTGGGCAGGGGCTCGAGGAAGGAGAGGTCTCAGGGTCAAACAGATGGTCCGCTGGGAGGGTCTGGAGAGCCAGGGGACTGTGGGGAGCTGTGGGGAGATGGGATCAAGTGAGGCAGGCCTGGCACCATCCCTGCGACCCACATGAAATACCCCTCTTGGAATCAGGGCCCAAGGGATTCTCGGGCCAGGGAGTAATGTTCCCAGGGGCGGGGGCACACTGCTTGCCTCGGCCCGCGGAGGCCGCCTGGAGCCGCCTCTCCATGGCGCCAGCCCGATGTCGCGTCTCACTGTCCAGGTCCCTGTAGTACAGCCTCACCCACTGCCGCAAAGTCTCCAGCGGGCTGTGACCCTGCAGGTACCCAGCTGAGCAGGCCCGGCGGGGGCAGCCCCCGACCACTGCCAGTGCCGCCAGGCCCGTGTCCCCACTCACCTTCCTAGTTCGCAGGGTGACTGACGCCCCCCGTTCAATGAGCAGCTCAGCCACCTCAAAGTGGCCGCAATTGAGGGCATCGTGCAGGGGGGTGATGCCCTCGCAGCCCTCACCGCCTGGGTCATCCACTGCGGCCCCATGGTCCAGCAGGAAGTGGACGATGTCTGTGGGACAGAGGACACAAGCCAGCTCCCAGAACCCTCCTCGGAGCCCTTCTCCTCGTGTGCCAGACCCCAGCCATGCTCACCCAAATGCCCGTAGTTGCAGGCTTCGTGCAAGGGCGTCCAGCCACAGTAATCCCGAGGGTTCAGGGGGTGGCCCTGTGACCGAACAGGAAGGAACCTGACCCTGACAGCGCCATGGCCTGGCCTCACCCCAGGGCTCTGAGGCCTGAGCGAGTCTCATAGGTCCATCCCAGGCCTGGCCCTGGCCGAGGTCCTCCCAGAGATTGGGAGACGCCCCCCCAACAAGGCAGAGTCCCGGGGAGGCCTGAACATGGTTCTCCCTCCAGGCCCCATGTCCTTCCCTGTCCCCTTGGGGAGACCGTGTACCCCGATGGAAAGCCCCTGGTGCGGCCCGCGGGGTGGAGGGGACGGGGTGGCAGGCGTACCTGCCTCACGAGGTCCTGGACACGGCCTAGCTGGCCCTCGATGCAGGCTCGGTGCAGCAGGGTCTCCCCCACATCATTGCGCCGGTTCCACTATGGGCAGAGTCACCGCAGGGTGAGGAGCAGAGGTGTAAGGGGACCGGGCAGCCCTTGCGGGCCATGGAGGGGACACACGCTCACCCTGCTGTCCTCACCTTGCTCGCCCTGTGCCGGCCCAGGCAGCCCGGCAGGTCCTCATCCTCCAGCTGCTGGGACTGGCTGTCAGTCTCGTCTTCTGCAAGGGCAGAGCCCGCCCCCAAGTGAGCCTGAGGGCAGGGGCCTGGCACCAGCTCCCAGCTCACTCCAACCCTGCCTACGGTCACTGGCACCCACGGTCCCTCTGCTCAGCTGACCTCGCACTCTGCACGCAGACCCTGTTCTGTGGGTCAGTGTCCCTGACCTCTGCTGCCTCTCTCCTGGGAAGTACCCTTTTTGGGTCTGGTGCCCTCTACCTGCAACCTGTGCAATCCCACTTTTCACCTCTTTTCCTGCCCTCTGCCCCCTTCTATGCCTCTGGCCCTTTCTAGAACCTTCTTTCTTACTATGACCTTCTGTTGAACAGCACTGCTTAAAATTACCATCTTTGGTTCTCTCTCCCCACCCCGCCCATGGCTCCCTGAATCCACACACCAGCGACACCCATCCTCACCTCTCTAAGGTGAGGCCCAAACTGCCCACAGCCCCTAGCCACTCACCAAGGGATTCTGGAGGCCCCTCAAGCTTAAAATGGAACCACAGCTCCTCCTGGCCTCAGGGACGGGTCCCCACACCCTGGCCCCAGCCCTCCTGCCCTGCACTGCTGGCCTCAGTCCAAGTCTGTCCCAGACTAACCCTCACATCCACAGGTCCGACCCTGCTCCTCCCCTAGTGGACAACCACCAGCTCCCCATCACCGGCTCCTACAGAAAGGTTCCAGGACTGCCCAGGCTGCCTGCACACGCCCTCCTATCCGCCTCACTAGCACTGGTCACCCCCTTACGCAGGGTTGTCTCCTCCTGTCATGAACCAGCTGGCATGGGGCCAAGGCAGCACTCGGGCCTCACCACTCTCGGAGAGTTCCACTTCGCTGGTCTCCAGGGTGTTGCTGTCCTCACCCTCGCCCTCTTCGTCCTCACCCTCGCCTGCCTCGTCCTCGTCCACACTCAGCGCCTGCAGTCTGGCCTCAGTGCCAGGGGCCTCCTGGGGCTGCAGCCTCAGCTGCACGGTGTGTAGGTGCCACAAGACCTGCCTCTGAGGAGCAGGGGATGCCTACCTCAGCGTCATGGGGTGCCAATCACCGAGGGGAAGACGGGTGAGGAATGAGGTGACAGCAGGCTGCAGGAAGGCTGCATGTGGGGATCCCGGCTGGGTGGGGGGGGGCCGTACCTGCAGCTGGGGCTGCTGAGCCTGCTGGGCACAGTCGAGTGCCTTCTGGAAGCAAGGCGCCATCTCCTCATACGCGTCACCAGCCTCCTCTCGGGACAGAGCGATGTTCAGCCAGGTCTTGGCATCCTGGGGCAGAAGTGGGAAGAAAGAGCCAGTGGCTGCTGCCCACTGCACCCAGCCAGCCCCGGCCACCACACCGCTCCCGGGAGCCAGGAGAACAGCAGCCCTGGGAAGGAAATGCCCGCCATGCCCACCACCAGAGTGGCGGAGCCATGGGGACAAACACTGAGATGCTGGCAGGGCTGGAGCTGTCACCTCACCTCCAGGGCATTGCTGTCACGCAGCCTCAGCTCCTCCTCATAGTGCTGCACGGCCCGGCGGTGGTCCTTCATGTCCCCCGAGGTGGCAGCCAGGGACACATGGATGACGGCCAGCTCGGGCCCTGGCCTGCCCAGCAGCTCTGCGAAATCCAGCTGGGGAGCAACAGTGAGGCAAGGCCTGCCCTACACCTGCGGGCCCACATGCAGCCCCTCTCCCGCCACCCCAGCCGAGGGTAGGGGGCGCACCTGCCTCTGGTAGGCCTCAGCTGCCTTGGGGAAGTCTCCTGCCTTGGAGAACAGGTCCCCTAGCTGCTCACAGATGCCCATGGCACCCTGAGGGTCACTGCCCTCAGACTCCTCCAGTCTCTGCTGAAGTCGGACCACTGCCAGCACTGCCGGAAAAAGCCTCGTGTGAGGGGGTGGCACAAAGCAGGCCCTGGCCCAGCCATCCCGGCCCACCCTGTCCGCTCACCGGCTGTTGAGATAGGTCGTTGGAGGGTCTACCTCGTGGGGTAGTTGCAAGGATTAGAGTAACTAATGAGTAACAACTCAGATCATGGCTGGCTCGCAAGTGGGGACCACTGCCAGCCATTGCTGACTGCCACCCACCATGCTCCAGGGCCACATGCCCTGCCCACTCCCCCATCCTGTTAGGTGGGCACAACTTGTCTCCAGTTTGCCAGATGCTGGCTCCGTGGAAATGCCCAAGCTGTCTCCTGAGCACCCTCAGGGCCTCTCTAACATGCTGTGCAACAGACTCAGAGAAAAGTTAGGCTTTGCTCCCAACAAGAAGGGAGGGCGGGAAAGGCTGCCACCACCTCAAGGACACATGCCCTGGGGCCCTCTACCCATGGAGGGGTCCCCCTCCAGGCTCACCATACTTGAGGGTCTGGCACACAGCCGCCTTCTGCAAAGGCTTCTGGGAGCCCAGCCTGTAGGCCTTCTTCAGGGCTCTCTTGGCAGCCAAAAAATCCCCCAGGTCTTGGAGGATCTGGGGGTGAGGGAAAGTGGAACTTGCAGACGCCCCAGGTCCAAGCCCACCCGAGGGCTGAGCCCGGAGCTGCTGAGGACGGCACCTGTGAGATGAGCACGCAGCACTCGCTCTCCATGAAGTTCTTCTTCATGGTGCGCGCGCACTCCCGGGCCCCCTCCAGGCAGCGCATGGCCTGGGAGTGCTGCCCCCTGCGCCAGTGGATGGCACCCAGGTTGTAGCGGGCACGGAACAGGTCCTCAAAGAGGTGGTTCTGCCTGCGGGTGGTGACAGGCGCTAAATGCCGGGGCACTGCCACTCTTGGACAGCACAGTGGGCACCCCAGTGCTGATGTGTAGCTAGCTGCTGGAGCTGCTTGGGACCAGCAGCCCCGCCTGCTCTTCCCAGCATGTGGCAGACATGCCACGTCTCCTCTGCTAGTGGGAGACCCACAGGGGTGGGGGGGTAGGGGGCTCACTCAGCGAGAAAGATGCTCTTCTTGAAGTAGTTGTTGCACAGGGACGTCTGCTGCAGACTCTCGAAGGTGAGGCCCAGGTTGAGGTAGAGCCGAGCCCTCATCTCACTCAGCTCTCGCCTGGGCAAATTCCCTGGAAGATGCCCCTCTAGACACTTGGTGTCTTATCCCCATTTGGCGTCTCCAGCTTTAAACCCTATCCCCTACCCTTGCTCCTGCCTGTTACGGTGAGAGCCAGGGGCTCTGCTGAAGACAATGTGGAGACACAGAGAGCAAATGACAGAATGCCAGACTTGAGGCACTCAGGAGCACGGGCTGTGTGTCTCCCCATGAGTGGGCTTCTAAGAGCAGACCTCAGCCTTGCAAGGGGAAGGCCCAGGCGGTGAAACCCACCATTCAGGCAGGGCAGGAGGTGGGGCGACAGTTTCCTCTGCCTACAGTTCTGGGGGGTGGGGCGGGGCAGGGCAGGGCACTCACTTTGCAGCTTCTCGTCCACGATAGTCAAGCTCTTCTCAAAGGCAGTCTGTGCTTGCAGCAAGGCCTCCTGTGACTGGCAGTGGTCATAGATGTCCAGGTGGGTGCGGCCAATGGTGGCCCAGGCCCTTTGCAGCTCAGTGTGGTTGGACAGGGAACGGGCCAGCTCCAGGTAGTGGTGCTGGTGCTGGGACGCAGAGGGAAAGCTGC